AGAGAGAGATGTAGAGAGAGAGAGATAGAGAGAGAGAGATACGGAGAGAGAGAGTGGTAAAGAGAGAGAGAGAGGTAGAGAGACGGAGAGAGAGGTAGAGAGATAGAGGTAGAGAGAGAGAGAGAGCGAGGTAGAGAGAGAGAGAGGTAGAGAGAGAGAGATAGAGAGAGACAGATACGGAGAGAGAGAGAGGTAAAGAGAGAGAGAGAGGTAGAGAGACGGAGAGAGAGGTAGAGAGATAGAGGTAGAGAGAGAGAGAGAGCGAGGTAGAGAGAGAGAGAGGTAGAGAGAGAGAGATAGAGAGAGACAGATACGGAGAGAGAGAGAGGTAAAGAGAGAGAGAGAGGTAGAGAGAGAGAGAGAGGTAAAGAGAGAGAGAGAGGTAAAGAGAGAGAGAGAGGTATAGAGAGAGAGGTAGAGAGAGAGATAGAGGGATTAGAAAGAACATTTTGGGTTCATTAATTAGAACAGAATAAATGTATCTTTGCAAAAGTGACAAAAAATAAGTTAAAAAAATAATTTGAGCAGATTGTGACTTAAAACAAGATTCTGAAATGTCCCCACTGTGGGACAAATAAATGATCTCTTAATCTTGTTTTAAAATACAAGACGTTTTTGGAATAAATATCTCTGTCTCTTTGGAGAGTATGGTTTTAACACAACTCAACAAAATAAATAAAAACCAATAGATTTAAGCAACTTTTACCACATATTTGATCATTTTTTACAGTGAAAACCAGCCATGAGCAGATATTATGTACATTTCTCTATAGCGAGATCAACACAGTTTCATCTTAATCAAATAAGCAGCAGACTGGTTTGAGGTTAACGGCTGGGGAGGGTCCGGGGGCCGTACAGAGCTGTGAATGGGGCCGGCTGTGTCCCCCGGGCCACACTTTGCTCAGGTCTCTTTGATGACGTCAGCCTCAGTCAGTCCTAACCTACAGCACGGTCTGTCATTGTGTGTCATTCACTGCACACAAACCATAGTAACAATGAGTACCCGCCGCACAGACTTTCTTTCAGGTGGAGCCGCAGCGTCCGCCTGACACAGAGCTTACACCCTGCTGCTGCTGCTACTGCTACTGCTGCTGCTGCTGCTGCTGCTACTGCTGCTGCTGCTGCTGCTGCTACTGCTGCTGCTGCTGCTGCTGCTGCTGCTACTGCTGCTGCTGCTGCTACTGCTGCTACTGCTACTGCTGCAACTGCTGCTACTGCTGCTGCTGCTGCTGCTGCTGCTGCTGCTGCTGCTGCTGCTGCTGCTGCTACTGCTGCTGCTGCTACTGTGAATGAACCGCTCTCTCCCCGAGCTACGAATGAATGAACATCAGAATGAATGAAAAGCCTCATGCAACAATCTCTACACACACCCGCACACGCACGCACACACACACACACACACACACACACACACACACACACACAAACACACACACACACACACACACACACACACACACACACACAAACACACACACACACACACACACACACACACACACTTACACACCCGCACACACACACAGACACACACACACTTGCCGCAAGCAGCGTCGAACAGCCCTCGCCGCACCGCGCGCAGCACCCCGCACCAAGCCGCCCCGCCCGCACCAAGCCGCCCCGCACCAAGCCCCTCCGCACCAAGCCGTCCCGCACCAAGCCGTCCCGCACCAAGCCGTCCCGCACCAAGCCGTCCCGCGTCAAGCCGTCCCGCGTCAAGCCGCCCCGCACCAAGCCGCCCCGCACCAAGCCCCTCCGCACCAAGCCCCTCCGCACCAAGCCCCTCCGCACCAAGCCGTCCCGCACCAAGCCGTCCCGAATTAAGCCGTCCCGCGTCAAGCCGCCCCGCACCAAGCCGCCCCGCACCAAGCCCCTACGCGTCAAGCCCCTCCGCACCAAGCCCCTCCGCACCAAGCCGCCCCGCACCAAGCCGCCCCGCACCAAGCCGCCCCGCACCAAGCCGCCCCGCACCAAGCCCCTCCGCACCAAGCCCCTCCGCACCAAGCCGTCCCGCACCAAGCCGTCCCGAATTAAGGCGTCCCGCACCAAGCCGTCCCGCACCAAGCCGTCCCGCACCAAGCCGTCCCGCACCAAGCCGTCCCGCACCAAGCCGCCCCGCACCAAGCCCCTCCGCACCAAGCCCCTCCGCACCAAGCCCCTCCGCACCAAGCCCCTCCGCATCAAGCCCCTCCGCACCAAGCCGTCCCGCACCAAGCCGTCCCGAATTAAGCCTTCCCGCGTCAAGCCGCCCCGCACCAAGCCGCCCCGCACCAAGCCGCCCCGCACCAAGCCGCCCCGCACCAAGCCGCCCCGCACCAAGCCCCTACGCGTCAAGCCGCTCCGCACCAAGCCGCCCCGCACCAAGCCGCCCCGCACCAAGCCCCTCCGCACCCAAGCCGCCCCGCACCAAGCCGCCCCGCACCAAGCCGCCCCGCACCAAGCCCCTCCGCACCAAGCCCCTCCGCACCAAGCCGTCCCGCACCAAGCCGTCCCGAATTAAGGCGTCCCGCACCAAGCCGTCCCGCACCAAGCCGTCCCGCACCAAGCCGTCCCGCACCAAGCCGTCCCGCACCAAGCCGCCCCGCACCAAGCCCCTCCGCACCAAGCCCCTCCGCACCAAGCCCCTCCGCACCAAGCCCTCCGCATCAAGCCCCTCCGCACCAAGCCGTCCCGCACCAAGCCGTCCCGAATTAAGCCTTCCCGCGTCAAGCCGCCCCGCACCAAGCCGCCCCGCACCAAGCCGCCCCGCACCAAGCCGCCCCGCACCAAGCCGCCCCGCACCAAGCCCCTACGCGTCAAGCCGCTCCGCACCAAGCCGCCCCGCACCAAGCCGCCCCGCACCAAGCCCCTCCGCACCAAGCCGTCCCGCACCAAGTTGTCCTGCACCAAGCCGTCCCGCACCAAGTTGTCCCGCACCAAGCCGTCCCGAATTAAGCCGTCCCGCACCAAGCCGCCCCGCACCAAGCGGCCCCGCACCGTACCACGGAGCACCGCGCAAAGGAGGTGGCGCCGCCGTGTGATGATGTGTTCTGTTGCCATAGAAGAACGTTAGTCAAATTGTAATGAATATGATAAGTAGAGCTGTTTGGCTCCCCATGTAAAACTTTGCCTCAGTCTGTAGGGGGCGCTATTGGGCCAATTTTAAATATTTCACTTTCACCTGACTTCACTTTCAATAACAAACCTGTTGAAGCCATGGTCCTTAGGGGATAGAGACCACTGTCCAGAAATATAAATAAATGTCCTTAAAATGTCATGATCATCATTTGTCCTTAGACCGTACTGCATCAGCAAAGAACGACTCAGAAAAGCCAGTGACCCAAACTCTAACCCTAGTCCTAGTCCTAGTCCTAGTACTCACTCAAAACTCTGGGCCTACACTGCATAAAAAGTAAAACACTGCTTAAATTTAGCAAAATATATCTTACTTAGCACATTCTGACTGAGCCTTAAAACAGGATTCACCAACGGGACAAAGCAAAATGATCTTGTTTTGAAAAGATACAGAAATGTCTTCCTTGGACTGAGAAAATAAACGCAACAGTTCTTAAAATAAAATTTCCTAGTATGACATATATTCATTGGTTTCCTGGCATGAAGAAATACTTGTGAAACATAGGTCTCCTGTTAGTACTTAGACATTAATGACCTTATGAGGGTTTTTTTTTAAAAATAGTGGATATCAAAAATAGCATGACAATGGTCGTTCAATTTTGAAAGAGATTCCGCAAAAAAAATCGATTTTTTTTAAAAAGAACGTGTTTTCATGAATTTAAGTTGTTCTCATAGCTCTAACCTTGTGTGTGACGTTCATAGCGGGTTACGCGCCTGCATTGAAACCAAGGATCTATGCCCTGTCCACACGAAGTCAAGTCAGGCCTAAACGCAAAAATACTTTATCAATCCAGTGTATCGTCCATACGGCGGCCGGCGTTTTTGGGGGGGGTGTAAACGACATTTTTGGAAACTAGGTACCAGAGTGGAAAGATTTCAAACTTCCGTATATGCCGCTCCGTGGATTCACTGCCTCCGCAATGATCTGAGACGCTTGCGTCATCGCCCCGCCTATTGTTAAAGCACGAATGCGCCGCACTCAGAAAATAATGACAACACACAATGTTGCTTGTCTGGTTTGTAATCCAGTGTGACCCGAAGCAACAGTTCAACCTCATCGTACGGCCATACTCATGTTTGTACCAGATCGCCCTTCGCCATGTTGTCTGTTAACAAAATCCGCGCTATCAGCTGCATGCATTTCTCACATCCAAAGATCCGCACTTGTCCTGTCAGCGCCGGTCACATGGGAATGAGTCCGCTGTGGCACCAGAGCATGTGGAGGACCCCCCCCCACTATTTGAGAAGCACTGCCCTAAACATTGTGTTTTCAATTGTTACTGTACTGTAGTATCTATTGTGTGTCATGGATCCTCCATAGAGTTACTCATGTTTGCATTGAGTTGTGATTAGTGCTGTCCAACGATTAAAATATTTAATCGCGATTAATCGCATGAATTTCATAGTTAACTCGCGATTAATCGCAAATTAGTCACACATTTGCGTGCTGTGTGCAATTGCTTTTTTTATTGAAAACAATGTGTAGTGTTATATTACACACTAACATTTGATGCAAAATCATCAATAAATGGATGACAAAATAAATAATTGGTAACAAAAAGCCCCTTCAATGTGTGTGTGTGTGGAGTGTGTGTGTTTATGGGTGTGGGTGTGTGTGTGTACGTGTGGGTATAGACCATAGACTGTATAGAAACATCATGGTGTCATTATGATGATGATAAACAATCTGTAAATATTTTGTAAATTTGTTCATGTAAATACTCTATGCTGTTTCTCTGTTTACTTTCGGTATATCTATGACTGTATACTGTTTGCTTGTATTGCCTTTTTTATTAACCCCTCCCCCCCATCTCCCACTTCATGTCCCCCCCCCCCTCCTATGTGCCCTTCTGGGTTTCTTCTTTGGCCCCCTGTATCTCCAACTACATATTGTTTGTAATCTCTGTCTACAATGTATCTGAACTAGTCCTTTTCTTTGTTTCTATTTTTTTTTCTGTATATGTGTTTGTCTGCAATAAAAAATAATAATAAAAAAAATTAATCGCGCGATAAAAAAAATGACGGCGTTAATATTGATTTGCGTTAACGCGTTAATAACGCGATATTTTGGACAGCACTAGTTGTGATATAACTGCATTTTCTACTTTATTACTGTAACTATTCTCATGAAACGCACAAATCTATAGTAAATGCCCAAAACATTTGAGAATTAAAAAAGTGTTGCTCAAATGCATCCTGGCAGTTGTGAAACTGTAAAAAGAACAGTGTCACATTCTGAAAATTGTGTTTTCAATTGTTTTGGTGATGTGGTTAATGATGCTCATAGTGTTCACATTTTTGCAGACCATTAGTTTAGTTTAGTTTAGTTTATTCCAAGCCGGTACAATACAACACAAGATAAAAAGAAATACATTACAATTCTATACAATATTAACACATCCATAGAAAAGGAAAAAAATAAAAATAAACAGCTTGGAAGGGAGTGGGATGAAGACAAGCTTATTTACTCCCACCCCCATTAAGTCCTCAAATATATGGTTGTCGCCATTTACAGGGAAATATAACAAAAGCAAAACCAGCGGTAGTTTTATATACACATTTCCTACTACATATTATGTCATTTATCTTAAATTTCTCCTACTGTGGAACAATAAAGTATCTATCTGTTTATATGCATGTATATTTGTGCTCTAGTCCAAATAATCGCTCACTTTTATATTATATTATTATATAGTGAAATTATGATTCAATATCAATCAGCTAAATCATTTTGTATCTACTAGATAGAATATAATTTTAATACCATACTATAAAAATAACCAATAATATCAATGATAATAACAGACATACAACACAGTAGACAATAATCAACAGACAACACAATAAGGGACATAAACAAAACATACTTCAGAGCCATGTACCATCACTGAATGTTGTTTTTATTGTTGGCTTAACTTTGTCAATATGATTTTTACATTATTACATTACTTATAGGTAATGTGTATGCTTGTGTTGAATGCATTAAAAACACAGGTTCTTTTGTGAGGTCACATCCCGAGATGCACTGAGATGTCACTACCCACCGGACCTGGTCAAGTATGAGGTCGATGCATTTATAAGGCAGGCCTTAAAATGATAAGGTCTTCTGTTCTGAAGAGCCATTACTCACGTGTCCTGCAGGGGGCGCTGTCATGGCTGGTGTGGTGCATGGTACAGGCAGAGAGACGACTGACAACAAAACCGATGTGTGTTAATTATTAAACCACGTGTTATATTCATATCATTACATTTATTTGAGAATATGTGTGTGTGTGTGTGTGTGTGTGTGTGTGTCCGAGAGGACGACAGCAGGTCTGATATCAGTGTGAACGGAGCCAAGTTGGAGACATGATGATGCAACACTGACATTTCCCCACTCCCCCATCTCTTTATCTTCATCTTCATCTTCATGTTTGTGTAGATGTTGTGGTTGTTAGTCACAGCTGATCAGAAAGTGTTCAATATTTCTTAATAATCATCTTTCCAAATGTGACCCTGAACCCGGAGCAGACGTCGCCTCAGCTCCTCCGGCCTCTGTCTGCAGTAAAGTCTGTCTCAGGACCAGAACGAGCCTGAGGCATGAGTCTGCGGCGTCTGCTGTGGTCCTGGAATCTATCACAGTCCAGCGACACTTTTACACTCACAGAACCTTGACCTGGAAGAACCTCTCATCTGCACTGATACATTTGTTCTTTTTCTTTTACATTTCATAATACGGAGGAATGCAGTGTGAGGGTGGATTGTCTCAGCAGAGAATAAGTGCTCACTGAAACACATTTGTGAACAGTATCTAATAGATTTGGGTCTATTCTATGTACGACCCCTGACCTCAGGCGGGGGTCTCTGGAGAAGGGTAATGTGTGTGTGTGAGTACCTCCAGAATCGACCCTTTAAAAGTGAGGTCTCTAAATCCTGATCGTCAATCTTTCTCTCACACAAATGAGAAGTGGTCTCAGACGTTATTTGAAGATTGATAAAACATCCTAACACAAGTTTATTTATGCGTAACGTTTATTTGGTGATGTGAGTTTTTGTCATGGTTTAGGTTTTTTTCCTGTTTTATTTTGCAATTTTCTTAACCCCTGTGTCTTCTTTAGTGTTACTTCCTGTTTCCTGATGCCCCGCCCTCATGTGTCTCACCTGTGTCTCGTTTGTGTATTTCAGCTATGGATCTTGTGAGATTTTGGCCCAGTCCCAATACCCACACTGCACCCTGCACACCTCTACGAAGTGTGCAGTTGTTGGAAGTGCGCACCAGGGTTGGAGTGGCAGGTTACAAGTGTGCACAAAAGGCAGAATTAGGACAGAGCACACTGAGTGCAGGTTACGTCATCGACTCGTCAGAGATGATCATTTTCAGACCTAAACTTTATAAACATTAAACGT